ATAACGTGACTACTCTGGCTTGTATTTTGGTTCATTGGTTCAAGACTCCGATTTAACTCTATGTATAAGTGTTTAATTGACGTCCCGTAATTCCGTTTAGTTTGGTAAGCTCTGTTTAACCCTGGGTGGTCTCCAATTGTGCGTTTCCGTTGAGTTCTCGCGCGTCCTATCTAAGGTTTGAGTGATTCGACTCCGTAGTCCTGGTGAGAGTTGGGCAGGCGGTCCGCTGAACCCTTTGGTTCGCCTTAGGGTGAGGTGGGGCTGTCACACTTCTCAAGGAAGTTTTTCCTGAGAATGAATTATTTCCAAGCTCTTATCGTGATGCTTGGAAGATTGTTAAAGACTTGGGTCTTAGCTACCATAAAATTGATGCATGCCTCAACGATTGCTTGATTTATTGGAAGGAGACAGAACATGAAACCTTTTGCAGAAAGTGTGGAACTCCTAGGTATAAGCAAATTGTAAAACAATCTGATGATTCAAGTGAACAAGCTAACAAAGTTCTAGCAAAGCTTGTTCGCTATTTTCCTTTGAAACCACGTCTTCAAAGGCTGTTCATGTCATCAAAGACTGCTTCATTAATGAGATGGCATGAAGAGGAGCGCATCAAGGGTGAAAAATTGAGGCATCCGGCAGACTCTTTAGCTTGGAAGCACAATTTCTTCTTTTGTATGTGTATGTGTTTTTTGTACATAGGAGACAATACTGGTAGAGGACTAGCTAGACGAAGTGCTGGTTGGGGTGGTGGAAAGAAATTAGAGTTAGTTTGGAATGCACGGGGCCAAGTAATTGGTCCTAATGCTACACAGTATATAAGTCAAGTAGGAATCTTAGTAAAAGATGGTAATAAATTACCACTCACGTACACAGATTGGAGGGCCATGCCTGAAGGATCTAAGGAGAGATTTTGGGAAGATATTAAGGTATTTTGACTCGCTATCAAAGTTAGCAACATTTTTTTCTTTTTATTTCAAACAATCTTATAGCTTGTGAATGTTTAAACTTTTGTTTTGTAATTTTTGATAGAGAAATACAAATATTGATGATACATGCAAGAAAGTACAAATGATGAGGGTCAGCAAATTGTGGAGAAATTGGAAATCAAAAGTCAAGAGCATGTATTTCACTCCTTATAGGAGGCACAGGTCATGGCTATTAGCACACTATCCTGCAAGAGTTGAGGAGGATCAATGGCCTATTTTGGTTGATTATTGGAGTTCAGAAGATGTCAAGGCATGTATTTATTGTCACATCTCTTTTGCTTTTGAATTAAATTCTAGTGCTATTATGATTTTGATGTGTTGTTAACTATCTTTTTCTGTTTTGTACATAATTAGAAGCAAAGCAACATTAATAGCAAGAATCTAAAAAAACAAAAGATGCCACATCGAACAGGGCAAAAAGATCATGTGAACCTCAGGGAAGAGGTATATTAAATTCTAATGCTTATGTTTCTAGCAATTTTTTCTGGAAAATAGTCTTATTTGGAAATATTAACACTTTAGTTTGTACATTGAATATGTGGCAGCTTCGGATTAAAACTGGAAAAGAGCCTTTGAAACTAGACGTTTTTATTCATTCAAGACAAGGAAAACAAATGGATGAGTTGACTTCACAAACAATTGTAAGAATAGCTTTTAGTCACTTTTTATTGGTTTTACTTCATAAATAATTCTTTCTTCTGCCTGTTTTTCAATTTAGGCAACTATGAATGAGGAAATACAAAAACTGCCAGAGACATCCAAGGATGATAATTTTGTGAAAGATATACTCTATGAAAATATTCTTGGACCTGAAAAACCAGGTCGTCTTTGAACTTATGGGGTAGGTGCGACTCCAAAAGACGTGTATAGGATATCGGATAACATGAATGCTGGACAAAAGAAAGCATTTGAGGATGCAGTGAATGAGAAAGTGGAAATCATACATGGTGAACTACGAGAAGAAATGAATTCAAAATGGGCAGATTTTAAGAAGGAGTTGATTGCTCAATTTGAAGCAAGAATGGTTTGGGATAACTATTTGGTTAAATATTATAGTTTTTCTAATTTTTTTATTGCTTTAGTTACTGTTTATCTTTGTTCTTCCAGGGGGCATCAACATATGACTTGGCATCACTCCAAAGAAGAGAAATGAATGCAGCAAAACAATCTCAAATTTTGGACTCATTAGAGGTTATATATTAATTCATACAATTCGATTTTGTGTTCAAACTCTCTGAAATATCAACAGCTATGGCCTGATTTTCTTTTCTTCACACTTTGCTGATAATGTAACAGGTTGGTGATAGAATGAATAGGGAAGTTGAAACAAATGATGCTGAAATGTACAAGGAAGTTGGAACAAATGATGCTGAAATAAATAAGTGTGAAATGAATAAAAAAGTTTCTTCAATTGCTGATATTCTTGAGGTATAATATGCGTACTTTGAGTTGGTCCTTCTATAGAAGACCAATTTTGCTGAGTTCCTTGTTGATATTGAATTGTGCATGAGTTCCTTGTTGATGACTATTTGTGCATGAGCTCCTTGTTGATATTTAATTGACTAGTCTTTTGTTATACTAGAACCACCATACAAAGAAGAAAAGGAGCTATTTATGGGACATAATGTAGTAGAAGTGGTCTTAATTTTCAATGTCTGTGAAAAGGTTGAAGTAGGGTTTTTTTTTTCCCTTTTTTTCCTTTTTTTTGGTGGTTTTCTTGATGTTAGAATTGAATTACAAATTCCGTTTCAGTATCTATTGTTATATTAACATTTTCTTCATGCTTAATGGGCTGGGATTATATGAGCAGGGGACTAATGGAATACACTTTGCAGCCTGGACTTAATGTTAAATGTGGCGTTGGTTTCATGGTTTGGTTCAAATGGGGATGGATGGTACGTTGGAAGCACGCGGATTGGGAGATATGAGGATGTTTTTGAGAGATTTATGATGAAGTGTTGTACTTTTGAAGACAAGCACATTTTGGAATATATGAAACATCTTGTAATTGGAGCGAACAATATTAAATGATAAAGTTTGTAGAATTTGACTAAAACAATGTATGATACTTTATTCTAGTGTATTATGGAACTATATTTTATTATAATATTCGATTTTAGGATATTTGGGCATGATAACTATTGTATCATGAAAAAATTGATTTCTGGCCTATATATTGGTGACTTTTTTGCGACGCAAGTTTTTGTCGCATGACATTGTGGACATTTTGTAGCGCATATTTTGTGCCGCAAGTAAAGTGGTAACACTCAAATTGGCGTCGCAAAGAGCGATGCAAATGCATGCGACATATTGAAAAATTGTGTCGTTTTCTTTTGTAACGGCTACTTTTGTGACACAATTTAATTCCGTCGCATTTGTGCCGCAAAAAGGTTTTCGCGGCGGCTTTTTGACTTTTTGCAGCACAATTCTAGCGTCGTAAAAAGTCAATTTTCTTGTAGTGTATGTATTTTTTCTATTATCTTTGGTATAGATAAGTTGATCTTTCTCCATTTCTCGTATTCAGTCGATAAGCAACCATGTATGGTTTCTACTGGAGCGGAGATTGTAAGTTTTCTCTTGGTTTCTACTGGTAGAATGGTGATAAAAATGTGTTTTTCTCCCACTAAGCTTGTGGCTGTTTGTTTGTTTTTTTTTTAACTTATGTTTTCAACTATTCAGGTAAGTTTTGTTTTTTTTGAACAACAAACTGGATATTTTATGTGCTGGCTCTTGACTAGATTCTAGAAGGACATGAATATGATGTTATGAAGTGGTAAGAATATCTACATTAATGTTTGGATATTATGTAGATTAAATCCCTCAGACTTGTTACATATGTGTAGGTTCAAATGCTAGAATTACTCTTCCCATACATCTCATTGACATCCTCAAATGCTAGGTGGAAGGGGGTTCATTTAAGGCAAAGGCACAAGGGCTCAGAACAGATGCTTCTCAGGCTACCGCTCCATTCACTTCCAATTTCAGGCAAAAACAAGTCTTATCACCAAGTCTACATTGTGAGAGAAGTAGGATAACAGAAAATTATCCTGCTAGGAGCAACTTTTATCATATGTCTGATGCTTCAAAATCATAAAAGATATCAAGAGGACAATCAATAAATCCATTCGCGATTTTGAAAAGCGAGATATATCAAGTAGCTAAAACATCACGCCTTTACGGGAAGAGGAAATCTACGATATGAAGGCGCCAATTGCTACTCTGCACAGCTCACGCCTTCAGATCCCTTGGAAGAAACCCCAAACGTTCGCATCTCCTGCAAACACAATAGTCAAAACCCTATCCTGTAAACTTTCATCGAAAAAATTTTCGTGATATTTATTTTTGATCTTCCTTGAATCTCTTAAGTATACTCACTTTGTCAAATGATTCAAAACCCAATTTCAAAATTTTTCTCAACAACAATAAATTCTGAAAAAATGTTCAAAATATCTCTCACATTTCATTAAATAAATTTGTTTGTCCTTTACTTTTAAAATAATTACTTTACGCCCTTTACAAAATTAAATCGATAAAATGAGATTCCAACCAAAATTTTTGACAACTTTTTGTTCAAAATTCATCATGTGATCCCACATGGTTATTTTTTTAAATGCAAAAAAGGTTAGATCCTATTTATGATTAAATAAATGATCTCCGATCTATATTCATTTTTGTTCATGAAAAAGTAATATCTGATCCAAACTCTATTCATCATTTCCAAATTAGTGTGATTCGAGCCAATTTATATCTAGTTTTGCCACTAAAATGGTTAGATTTGACCTATTTGTACATAAAAAATTACTACAAGTGGATTACATTGTGACTAAAAAATGATCAAAAATTTAGATTTGAATTAAATTTTGCTAATTTAAATTTATAAAGGATGTACAATTAATATTTTAAAAATGGAGAAAAAAAATTCGTTTAGCTAAATGTGAGACCATTTTGAACGATTTTGTCATAATTTAAATACAAAGAAAAAAGAAAAAAAAGTACAAAACCCAAGATCAGAAGCATTACCAATTATCAAGTCACCACCCAATTATCAAGAAGATGCAAGAATCTTCATCTTCTATTCCTACCCCAGACCAAATGGAGGAGCAGCAGCCAGTAGAAGGTATGGGAACCATCAATAATAATATTCCTGATGAACTCATCTTTGAAATCCTCTCAAGGCTTCCAGTCAAGTCCCTCTTGAGGTTCAGGTGCGTTTCAAAATCTTGGCTTTCCTTAATCTCTAGCTCGGAATTCATTAAAGCCCATCTCGAGAAATCGTTAAATGAGCATGACTACAATCGCCATAAGCTCCTTTTCATTTCTGATAGAATTTTCAAGAATTGTTCTCTGAATCCTGCACTGAATGCATCCAAGACTCCCAGTACTGAGACAAGCGCAAATATTGTTGACAATCCCATGAGATTCAACCGTGGTAGTTTGCCTTATATTGTGGGTTCTTGTAATGGTTTGGTATGCATCAAAAGTCCTCGAAATCGACTGTATTTCTGGAACCCTGCAACAAGAAAATCTAAAAGGTTGCCCAAGTTTGGTAGCAAAACTGTGCACAATAATTGGTGGGACTCTTTATTTTGTTATGGCTTTGGATATGATGAGTCTAATGAGGATTACAAGGTAGTTGGGGTGTCGTTTGTAAATGTTTCTGATGTTTTCGGTACAGAAATCCGGGTTAAGGTGTATAGTCTAAAAGGTAATTCGTGGAGGAGGATTCAGGAGGATTTTAAGGTGGGTGATATGGATGAATATGGTTGCTTTGCAAATGGAAAGCTCCACTGGGTCTCGAATCGTATTCCTGGCTCTGATGACGTACGGAAAATTATTAGTTTTGATTTGGCGAGCGAGGCATTTGGAGAGGTGGAAAAGCCAGAACAGTGGATGGGTTTTTCTTCTGATTGGAATTTACATGTTTTAGATGGACATCTGTCGCTGTCTTATGATCAGGGAAGCAATCTTGTGGATGTTTGGGTGATGGAGAAGGATGGTGCTAATGAATCATGGGCTAAAGTGCTTTCGATCCTTAATCTCAGTCAGCCTAGTGGTGAAATTTTTTTGAAACCTGTTTTTCTGTCCAAGGAAGGTGAAATTCTGTTTAAATATGGGCCAGTCATAGCGCTTTACAGTACAAAGGATAATGCTTACAACTATCCCCGGGTTACTAATTTGGGAGATCTTGCGCAAGTGGAGGTGTATGTTGAAAGCTTACTTTCTCCAAATGCTGTTGATGGAGTATGAATGCACAGGGCTGGAGACCACTAAAAGGTGCTGATGATGATCTGTTGAATATTACTTGATAGTGGTGATTAATTTTGTTTCTTCTGCCATTACATTTACTTAGTTAAGTCTTTGTGATCTAATGTCCTGGTTCATCATTGAAGATCGTATCTGGACATGTTAGTTTTTTTCTTTTCGCTGCTCAAGCACTAAATTTTGATTGATATCCTTTTAGTTTTCAGATGAGAAGTATTAATGGCAAAAATGCCTATAACCCCAGAGTTCAGCTTGCTTTTTGTTTTGATTTGTTCTTCACTTGTTTCTTAGACTGCATGAGCATAAGAGCATTCTTTTAACTTCTAGCCGTGTGTTTAATCTGTTATCTTTGTGTATTAAGATTTATGCCCATGGAATACTTAATTAGTGGTAGCTAGATGTGGCTCCTATGTTCTGTAATTTTAGAAAATGAAAGCAGAGCTTAGAAATTCATTGTGCTAAACTGCAGAGTTGAGGTTACATAAAATTTGGTGTTCTGCTTTCTTGCTAAATGAAAAGTATCTTACATTATGTGACTAAGCTGAGTCACTGGAACTCTTGTAAGTTACTATGACTCTGAAAATTGTCAACAACTCTCAGGGAACAATTTGGAAATGTGAGTTTGGTTGTGTTACATTTATATCTGGTTCAGGCATTTTATGGCATCATGCAGTTCCATGCTTAATTACTTTGTTGTTTTCAACGATCTTTGCTTGAGAAAGCAAACATACTGGGTTCTGATTTGAAGCACACTGGGAAAATATATAGATGAAATAGTTGGGGCCACTTAGATCCCTAGTGTTGCTCATTAGGAGATCCCTGCCACCAGAATTACTGCATTTCGATACCACATTAACTCTACCTCCTGCTTTGCTACTTTTACATCATTGCAATCTATTTAGCCGGGTAATTTGATTTGTTATAGTGTTAGTTGTTATGTCCTGCATGCGAAGTGTACAACTTCATATATTGGTGGGTGACTTAAGTTAGATGGAAGGTTCTCTGACAGAAAACAATAAATAATGGTGATCTCATCAATGGTTGAAGGTCCTGATTCATTGTAGGCTAGTGATGTACAACTAAACTAAATGGTAAAGAAAGAGCATTTGTTGCCTGAGACAAATGCTCCACTCCTATCTAAACAGGGGAAAAACGAGGACTGAGAAACTTCTTATTGTAAGACAGCCTCCATGTCATTAGACCGTACGTAAGTTCCTACATAGAACTGCTTAGCCTAATGTTTCCTTCTAGTCATCTCACGCGAATTCAAGTGCTACAGAGTCAAATTTCAGTTCCTGATTTAGTTTTTTAGCTTTCTTTCCTGACAGAAGAATTATGCATCTGATCAGATTTGAAAAAAATTAGGAGGTCAACTGTTTCAAAATTCTATGTATCTGAACTGTACTTATTAGTTGCTCTTCTCGTTTGCCTTATTTTTATTTCAAGGTTATCCTAAAAGCTAGTTTCTCATTAGTTTTTCACTAGGTTAAAATACTTTTTTCACTCTGTTAACCTGCTGAATTGAGTAGATCCTGTGTTCAATGGCTAAGGTTAGGAATGTTTGCCTGGTCCCTACTCTCTCTCTCTCTCTCTCTCTCTCGCCCCTTACCCCTCTCTCAAATGCTGTCTATATTATCTAAAGATACCTTCAAAAACATTTCTCCTTTCCTTTTGTTTTTTCTATTCTTCATTCATAGGTTTTCTTTCATGTTCTCATATACCTAGATAGGTTGAAACTAAGTTGTCTGCTTTGTAATTCTTTTCGGTACAAAAATTTTGATTTTTCTCCGTGGTGGTATCAGATTAATAAGCAACAAGTACAGTTTCTACTAGCAGAATGGAGATAGTAATTTATTTCATTTTATTTAGTTTCCTTTTTTGGTTTCACTGGCAGAATGGGGATATTAACATTTTTTCGCCCCCGCGAGAGCTTTGCTTTACCAGCTTGTTTTTAATGCGGGTAATTCATATATTTTTGAGCAACAAACTGAAATATATATATGAGCTGCCTATTGACTAGACAAACATGATGACGATGATGTTATCAAGTGGTGACTGGAGAGAATGTCTACATTACTGCTTGGGATATTATGTGGATTAAGTTTCTCAAACTTGCTAAAGATGTGTAGGTTCAATTGCTAGGTACAGTTTTCAAATGCTGAGTCAGTTTGTTATGAAATGGTGTGATAAGCAAAATAAGGTTCTGAGGGATTTCTCTTCTGTTGTTTGGTAGCAGGTCCATTGAAGGCAGAGGTACAGGGTTGTAGAGCAGATGGTTCTTAGGCTACTGCTCCATTCATTTCGCATTACAGGCAAAGGCTTGGTCTTCTGCTTTTGCAGCAGACTGCAAAATTTTGTCTCTAGCTGTTTGGTTGAACCTGAAGAGCAGTAGTTTTTCTCCACAGTGTTGTATCATTCAAATACTCAGCTTACAGTATGTGCAATATGGTATATATTCCTCAGAGTAAATAAGATAAGGTCTTGTTTAATTTTGCAATGGTTGTACATAGTCCTGGTATGTTTAATTTTCTGTGCAGAAACTTTATGAGCCTATATCTTGAAAAGGAGAAATATTCTTGTACTTGTGTGCAGTAACTGGTGAGCAACTATTTGAGCCAATATTTTCTTCAGTCTTTGTGCGTTTATGGTATAATTTGACAGAAGGAAAGTTAAAGAAAATGAAAACCAGAAAAGATGTACAAAGAAGATAGGTATAGGTTTTCAACTGTACCATCTTTGATTGACTTAATCAAATTCTATATACATGCTCTTTTGGGAATGAAATCTAAAGCTTGATGTTTTTGGCTGTCCTCCTTTTGTTTCAGAGCTGCACTAGAGAAATTGCCTTGCTGAAAGTAACCTCCATCAAGTTTCTGGTTCTTAAAAGTAGTAAAGATAGTATTTTGAGTAAACAATTGAGCCATTTGTTATTTTCAAGGCGTGACTTACAAAAGAGTTACCTACCACGCCTTAATGTCAAGAGGGAATATTTGAAGACGCCTACTATTATGCTGTACATATGGATGCCCTCAAGCGCACGGTAGTTGCAGTACTTTTTTTTTTTTTTGTCGAAACGATAGATGTCCTATAATCTAATCTAGCCTAGTCTAAGGGGAAGGGGAGGGGGTTCGATGTGAGTACAGACTCCATCGATGAAGGTCAATTAAGACCGCCACAAATTGTGGCAAATATGTGGGAGGCAGGGATTGAACCCCTGACCTCCAGCATCACCTTTAATGGTGATGACCACTGGACCAAATGGCCAGTGGCTAGTTGCAGTACTTGATACCAATACAAACACCCGAGCAGAGAAAGAGCCATCAAAATCAACATTAATATATCATCATCAGGTCCTGCTAAAATCCAGTCTCAGTTAAAATCCAGTCTCAGTCTTGTGGATGGAGGAGTATAGCATGAAAGAATCTTGGATAAAAGTGGCCATTGCTAAACCACTGAACTTGGCTCAATGGCCATCAGGAGGGACTTAAGTCCCTTCTTGGACTGTAGGTGGGGGTTCAAACTTCACTTGCAGTAAAAAAAAAAATTCAAGAGTGGTGCCATAGTACCCTTTTGATCTAGTCAGATCTGCATACCTACTAGTTCCTAAATACAAACCTCCTTAGGCTCCCCTCCCTTGTAGATTAGAATAGAATAGGTTATATAATTGTTATCGTTGTCCTAATTTTAATGATTGGGCTATTTTTTGTACCTGTTTTTCTATAACACGGAGGTCAAATTTTGTTTAAGTCTGGAGCCTTCTTGGCAATTTACAATCCAAAAAAAAAAAGGACTATCTCAGTCATCCTAAGATTACTAATTTGGGAGATTTTTCACAAGTGAATGTGTATGTTGGAAGCTTAGGCCTTGTTTGGATGGATCCTAAATTCAAATCTTTTTGGCTATGAGATTTAGGGTTCATATGGTGTACTTGACAGTTGAGGGAAGAAGGGTGGGAGGAGGGGTGGGAAAGAGTTATATATATATATATATATCCCTCCGAACTTTATTCCTAATTGTACCTTACCTCTTTAATTTATTAAATGGGCACTTTACCCTGCTACTTGATATTATAGTGCTGTCTACCCCTATAATATATTTTGTTGAATTCTAGTTTAAACTAATTTAAGCATGAAATTAAATTAAATTAAATGCAAGGAGTTCATATTACACAATCACAAATAAGTTTTGGAATATTTCAGTACAGTACCACCAAATGAAGATTATTGAATTATTACTGGGCTGATTGTGTGAAGAACAGCAGCATTAAGCTGAGACCGTGTAATAATCCCCGCAGCCGGTGCATCCCCAGCCCAGCCGGAAGTAACCTTCCTCTCCCCAGTTCACACCCCAGGAGTTCTTTACTATCCAGTATTGGTTGAGCTGGCCAGCAGAACCACCTCCATACCCAACTACAAGGGCTCCGTCATCTCGGGGTTCTGAAGAGTCTAAACAAATCAGCGGGCATGTGACTCCACCGATGTATGTCAGCAACCAATCCGCGTTGAGCGCAACTATGATGAAAAAAGAAAAGGAATTATACTCAGTTTCGAGTAAATCTTATATATGATGCCGTTGATTCATCATGACGTGTATATATATATATATATATATATATATATATATATATATATATATATATATATATATATAAGATTTGAATTTTGAATTCAAATTAATTATCATACATACATTCAAATTCAAGGGTGGAATTAGAAAAAGTGATTTGGTGGGGACAGATTTAACATGTAAAATTTAACCAATTATAGTATCAAAAAAGAAAAAAATAGATGTCTAACTAATAATAATGTGACCAATATATATATATATATGCCAAAATTTATCTACATGAGCAAGCTAAAATGTAGCAAAAAAGAAAAGAAAAAAAGTTTCTTATATATATCAAATTCCTAATAAACAATTGTGCCGCTTCTCCTTTAACAATAATAAACTTTCTCTAGATTTATTTACTAAAAAAGATGAAACAAAGAATGAGAAACTCTTGATTAATTGCAATGTGTAGTCCAAATGGGTTTAGTGCACTAGAGCATATTGGAAAGGACTGAGAAGAAGAATAAATGAAATAGTAAGTCTTTTTTCTTCTTTATTAGACAAGGTATTAGCATATTAACTTGTTCCGGTGTAGGACAAATAAACGAGTGTGAAATGTTAATAGGGTTTCGTTGAAAAAAAAAATGGGGGCAATTTCCTCTAAGTATGGGGTAAACCTGTAATTATTTACATACACAAGGAGAATTTGATGCTTCCATTATTGGTTCAGGGCCTCCCAAAACAAAAAAAGAATCATTTTGCCCTCAATTGTAAAATAGAACTTGTGAATCCCAACCTAATCTGCACGTACGGGAGTCTAAAGAGGTTGTATATAAAGGATTAGTAGGTATAAAAATTTAACTAGACCAAAAAGGTGTTCTAACACCTTCGTTGAATTTTTTCACTACAGGTGGAGTTCGAACCTCCGACTTCACACTGGTTGTGATATCTCTTTATCCCCATCTAGTACAAACTTGTCAGTGTATAGTGAACAGAAGAACAAGCAATGTATTAGTTTCTTGTGAGCTTACTCTGGGGGGATATTCAAGTATTGGAGTAGTTGGTTGATTACCTGCAAGAGGACCATTCTTCACCAGATTTGCAGCAACTTGATTAACGTCAGAGGAGACAACACTGAAGTTTCTTACCATAGCAGCAACAATGCTGGAATTAAATCGACATGCTCCAACCTCTCCTTCGTAAGGATAAGACTCCTCACTATCAATTCCACCTTGCTGCTGTATGTACTCAAAGGCACTGTTAATCCGCCCGCCGTAGCATCCAGAACCATCCTGAAGTATAAGCCAGATATTCTGATATTTTGATATTTGGACAAGTAAAGTGAAGTATAGTTCTGAAGTATATTTTGATAAGACATGAACATAATTGAATTGTTTAGGGTACAATTTCAATTCAGAAAATGATACAATTCATACTTAGCATTTCAAAATCAACCACTCACTGCAATTTCATATCATGGAAACCAATAGTACAAATAATCCACATATGGTCTGATTTTGTATTGCAAAATAATTCATTTTAGAAAACATACTTTTGCAAGACAATTTCTTTTGCATACATTTGTAAACTTTGAAAGGATTTTGGAAACTATCAAGTACAAAAGCTACTCAAAAGAGAAATCTTATATCATGCTTTGTTTCTATGAATCATTGCATTCAAATATCATTTACAAAATCAAAGATAGCAAGGACTACTCACCCCACTTCAATAGACAATTTTTAACGTTGATTTTCCTTTTAACTTGCAATCACCCTATATTCATATAAACCATCCATAAATCATCATTGTCTATAGCCCATAATCATTTACTTACTTACCCTGAAGTAACCCCAAAGATCTTGCAGTACTACGATGCATGCTACGAGTTCAACAAAATGTTTAGCTTTACACTTGACTTGAAAATATTACTTTAGTAAATTGACCATAGCTCCAATTACAATACTCATTTTCAGAATCTTAAGTTACTGATAGAAACTAGATCGAAAATGCTAAAACTTTCATAGAGAAATCATTTCCAAAATCTTTCAACCTGTCAGTAAAATTTTGGGTTGAAATTCATTCTGCCGCTAGAACCTAGCTGACATTTTGACTGTTTTTTGAAAACTTACCATACTTGTACACACCTTATTTGACCATGAAATTTTTTACAGTAGATAGTATTCCAAGTCTACTTTCGTACAAAATGACATTCAATTTGGATATTCCTACAGTGAGTTATAACTTTTCAAAAATTAGGGGTGCATCAGCCTATTACAGGATTTTCCAGAAAATCATTCTTCAACAAAACATAAATTAAAAATCTTTCTAGACTTTTCAATAAATTCTCAAAATCTCCATATTCAATGTACTTCCTTAAAACTCTCAAATCATGTTTCTATCCTTATAAAATTCCTTCAAAAGTCAATTAAATTAGTTTAGGAAGTCGCTTTGCAAATCTGTCAAGATTTGACACCAAAAAAGATCCATCTTTCTTGTTTCCATTAACCATCAGAGAATTCTTGAAAATTGAAAAAGACACTTTCAATCCATTATCCTATTGGTTATAAAGTATTCAAGAAGTTTCCTGAAAGTATCCGCCAATTTTTATGAAAAACAAAGCTCTCTAAGTTGTCCAAACAAATTTAACAAAATTGTGTGCAAATCTGTCAAAACCCTTTTCCCCTTCAAAACCCTAGTTCATGTGTTCTTAATAAAACATGTATCTTGATCCTATATTCCATGATGCTTTGATACAAAATATATTTGAATAATGATTAATTTTTCTAATACTGATAGTATATGCAGTGTCAGTGTTAGATAAATGATAACTATGTAAAATTTAAATTTGATATCCAAAATTTGCACATATATCATAGTGTTTATACTATCAGTGTATATAAGATTGTACGGTCACTTAAGCTCATACTTGAATAAAATACATGAATTAAAACACTATTAGAATTGGATGAATGACACTTACATAAAATTTGAATTTGAAATTTAATTTTTGTACATATGTTATAGTGTATACATTACCAGTGTATATATAAGATCGTAGGATCACTTAAACTCACACTTGAATAAATTACATAATAATACATGAATTAAAAATTCTTAAACCAAAAGAAACCTCAATAGCTCTAAACTGGCTTCTCATAGTGTATGTAAGATCGTAGGGTCACTTGAATTCACACTTGAATAAACTACATAATAATACATGAATTAAAAATTCTTAAACTGGAAGAAACCTCCATAGGTCTCCTTCTCTTACTCTACCACTTGACAACTTGAATTCTCATTATTTCTTTCCTCCTTGATTTGTTCTCCCTCTTTTTCTCTCTCTTGCTTATTGAGTCCTAGAGAAGAAGAATCAATACTGAGAGTAGAGGTGGCAAAATGGGCGGGATTTGCTTGGGTTTGAGATGGAACCGAGTCATATGGGTTTGGGTCCAATCTTACCCATATGTGTTTTGGGACTAACTTGGGCGGGATCATTTTGGGATGGGTTTAGATTGATCCCGCCCAATACCCAAATCCATTTTCTACATATTTTTTTCCCTTTAATTCATTTTTTATTTTTATATAATTTTAATATTTTTGATTTATTAAATTTCTTTTAGTTTTATTAAATAAACATGAAAGTGCTTTATACTCAAGATTCCCACCAAAAATTGGATTAACAAATAAAGGAAAAGATAGATATACAGCCATATTCCAACATATATCAAGATGGCCAAGGTCCTTAGGATGTTGAATATTTATCCTTATCATTGTCCAAGGATGACAGGTCTAAACTAACTGAAATGCTGGAAATTCTTGTGGATAATGACTAGGAAGACTACTAGATTATATTCGCTGGTATGACTATAAAAATTGTTAAAGATAATTTTTGAATCTAAGATTCCGTTTGGATTGACTTTTTTTTCAAAAAATAAGTTTTTCAAATACAATGTTACAGTAATATACAATAACTCAAGAAACATCCCATCCATATTAATATATCAAATATTTCAAAAAAATTTTATAGTAAAAATTTTTCATATACACTGCTACAATAAAATATTTCAAAAACACCTACCAAAAACAGCTAATCCAAACGGAGCCCTTGCCATTTGAGCCCAATGGGTACCCAAGTATTTCCCATCCTTTCCCATTCATTAATGGGTATAGTTGGGATGTGTCCCAACTTAAACCCAATACCAAATTATAATACCCATCCCGCCCAAAGTTCCTTTGGGCATGGGTAGCCCATTGGGACTTGGGACAAATTGCCAGCTCTAACTGAGGGTACGTTCTAACTTACGGTATTTATAGGCATTGGTTGGAGTGAACTCACTTGGTTCTTCCGATGTCGGACAAAAGAATTTACTTGTATTAATAGTCTTCTAGAATATTCAAGCATTATCCAAAATCTCCATAATTTCTTTTTTTTTTTATCCTTGAAAATTTCTGCCATAAGGGATAAGGCCCTTTTTTTGTTGAATTGGGCCGGAAAGTGGGCTTTGGCCCAGTTCTTTTTTTTTTTTTTTTTTGAAAATTCAGTCAGTCCTAGGCCCTTTTTTTTGTTTTATTTTCCTCTGAGCCATAATCTAAGTCCAAAACTAATTAAATAAATTCAACCTTAAACTAATTAAAAGACTAATAAAATGCAGATCATTATAACCACCTCAACGAACTCAATACCTGCCTTTCCTCATTTCTTTTTCTTTTTGTGTTAATATGATTTCCTCATTTCTTCATATTAGCACCAGAGGACATGCGTTTCACGTTGCATGTTAATCTTAGTTCGGACTAAGTTTTAAATTACATATTACGATTTAAAATGAATCTTGTTAATCTTATAAATTTAATTTTATTCCATAAGAAAATTTACTTTGGAAAACGACAATTCTCAAATGAAACCAAAGGTGTTGTATATATGACCTCAAGAACAATAAAACTAATAAAGTTATGTTTTCATTAATTTTGTTTTCCAATTCATGTTTAGTTTCTAAACTATCTTGCTAAAGTTTCTTTCTTGTTCTTTACTAATTTTTGAAATCTATTAGTAAAATTATACTCAAGATGGAAGTTTACTTCAATAAGTTTATTCTCCTAGATAAAATTTTAGGGTAAATTATAATTTATCCCCTATGGTTTAGCACTATACGTAAACTCGTTGTAATTTTAACTAAAGTGTCAAAGTGATGAAAATGGTGTTTTGTAATGGAACCATCTGAAACGTTGAGATTATCCTATTTAAGAAAATAAAATGACTAAAGTGGTTAAGATATAGAAACATAATATGCATGATATTTTAACCCTTTTATGGTTTAGTGCTTTACTATATACCCTATTATAGTTTTCAAAATCTATACATAAACTCCCTGTGGTTAATGAAAATATTTAATCTTCATATAATGGTACTTTTGACATTTTTGACAACTCCATTACCGAGTACAAGTTCCGTTCTTTTGATACTTTAATCAAAACTAGGAGGGAGTTATATATAATTTTTGAAACTATAGGAGTGTTATGTAGAGTACTAAACTATAAGGGGATAAAGTGTAATTTATCCAAAACCGTAAAGCTGATATTACATGAATGGCAGCAAAACGAATAAAAAAGATCTTGGGAACATAATGTAGTCATAAAGGGTCACTTATTCTATCAATATTAATCTCGAACTCAATATATAGTAGCAATATCCACCTTTGGATGTATCTTTTGAAATGAGTAACATCATGAAAAAAAAGAAAATAAAATGATTATAAGGGGTTTGATCTAAATATAGGTGCATGTATATTCTGTATGACTATCTTATGTGCTGATATATGCATTTGCTGCTGAGACCCCATTTGAGGTTATGATACTTTTGGTAAAAAAATACTTTTGGATGCTAAAAGTGCTTTTAAGGTATTTGATAAGTATCATCCCATAAAATTGGGAGTGGAATTTTTTATGTTAAAAGCACTTTTAGCAAAAGTTCAAATATGGTACTTTTAAAATATCTTTTGGAATTTAAAAAATAAAACATTAAATTAAATCAATTTATCCCATATTATGAACTAAAAAATGAAATAAATGTATTTAAAAATTTTCAAATTACACATTATTCAATACAATAAGTACATAGTAAACTATGTATCCAAATAATATATTTAAAAGCACTGAAATACTTAATAAGTGCTTTTATTAAAAACCCATTAGTGAAGTATTTTTTAATAAATTATTACAACCCCAAACGGACCTTGAATAAGGTTCTCCAACAAGTTACAATTACTCCTATGCGCAACTTGTTTAATGTCATGTTATGTATAAGACATTGAATGTATAAAGTTTAAGAAGGTTGATATATATGAACTTAGTCAAAATTTTTAAGACTATGGCCTAATTAATGCCGAAATCTCACAATAGAGAATGGTCAATAGATTTGATTAGAAAATTTTCCAGTAAATTTTATATGAAAAATAAAACATAAAATTTTTCCAAATCAATTTCTATTTCATAATGAATTCTACTTCTAAAACGAAACTTAAGGGTTGGCATATATATTACATAAAATGCTGCAACAATCCCCAACAGACTGATCACAAGAAGTGGAAGGGGAGGTGTGGGAGAAGCGAGGGGAGGGGAAGAAGGAAGAGGAGGAAGGAGGAGAGGAAGAGAAAGAAAAGGAGGAAGTAGAAAGGAGGGGGAGGAAGAAGAAGAGGGAAGCGGGTGGGGTGGTGGTAGGGAAGGAGGAGGGAGGAGCGGTGGTCGCGATAGGTGGTGATGTGGAGAGATGGGTGGCGGGAGGTGGGGTCCAAAGAGGGTGGTGGGTGTTTGTGGTAGGGGTGGACAAGAAAATTTTTTAAAAATGCCTCAAAAAAGTTTTTAGTTTTAAAAGCACCCCTAAATACATCTACTGTTAAAAGGGATGTTTTAGTTTACTACAAGAAATCCAGAAACGTGCTTAACAACGTATATAGGATAGGACACCAACGTACTGATAAGATTATGCAGTATTACAGCCGATCATGGCAAATGTTATCACATCCTATGCTCTTTATTCAAACCAGACAATACAAGTGAAGATAAAAATACCTAGACTTGACGGTTAAACGGTCACAAAAGTGCATATCGAAACAATCTTTGTCACTACTGAGGCAGAAGAATTCAAGCTAGCAACATCTATCCTTTTACAGTCAGCGAATTTGTAACGAAACTATCATCGAGGCCCAAAGACATTCAATTTTATTTTCATCTTGGCAATATGGATAGTTCCAATGATAGAAAGAATATAATCACTTGATTAACTAGGTCCTGATCAGAAATAGGTTGTCTATTCGATAGTCTTTATCGATTATTAGTGGCCCCCCGAAAAAAAAAAGAAATCAATGGAAAGAAAACTCAAACCTTATGGACACAATCCACAAGCTGCTGCTCGCTGAGGCTAACTAGATCTCCGCTGGCCAAAGCATTGGCTGCTTCCAGCGCTCCAGTTGAACTGAAAGCCCAGGATGACCGGCATGAACCCTGACAAACACCCCAAGTTCCATCAAATTCATTGAATGAAATGTTATGCTGTGACTTAAGATTGAGTGGGATAAGTAAGATTACACGTACATACCTGATCTTTGACGGGGGTGACGACGCCCCACTGACGATAGTCAAGAGCAGAGCCTGGAGAGGGAAGATCCCGAGTCGGGAGGATAGGAGCCTCGTTAGGATCAGCAGAGACACTGAGCCGTCGCTTCTGCTTATGGTGTCCGAGGTGGAGACGCTGCTGGAACTCAGAGGGAGTGAGATCGGAGAACTTGGTAATGCCATGGACCGCGCTAGGATCCAGGAGCTGGTGGCGCTTAGCGCGGTGCAAGTTAGCCTTGAAAACCGAGAATCTATAATCGTCCTCCTCCTGCGTGGAGTAAGTCTTGCCATACTTTTTCTTGAAGAGTGAGAAATGGTGGTCTGCATTCAGGAGAGGATCAACATCATCGTCCAATGGTACGACCTGTCTGAACGACAGATCCTCTTGGATGATGGAGGTAGATTCAACGTTGCCTAGCGTGGAGGCAAGCACGGAGGACAGCTGAGTTAAGCTGAGAAGAAGTGAGAGAAGAAAGAGGCGATCCATCCAATCAGTTGGAGAAGAGCCTGGGAAAGGAAAGGTAAGCTGCATTAATAAAGACAGAAAATATTAGCACAAAGAAGGTGATATATATATATATATATATATATATATATATATGTATCGTTCCTAATGATATCCAGAACAACAACCACAAGAAACAATTGGTAGGAAGGAATAAGCGAGTGAAGATTTTGAAACCTACTGCAATTTTATGGGTTTTCTTGCAGCTTTATGTAGGAATTGGAGATTGATTGATTCACTTACAAGTATAAAAAGGAATCATAAATTGACTAGTTAGAATGATCCTATCAATTGACTAGTTCAGTTTTGGATCTCTCCTTAAAAATGTCTCAATGGAATTTCTGTTATTGTCATCGCAATTTTAATATCAGGGAAACTTGACAAAACGATTGAAGACTATTGAAGGAAGCATATACTATGTTTCTTGCTTATAAGCCAAAGCCAATGCTTAAGTGTACAATACGTTTGTGGAAGAGCAAGTTAATGCTCAATTCACTATCAAAACAGGATCACCTTCTTTTTATATTTCTACTGCCTATGGGAATCATTTACAAGTTGTTCAAGTTACATTGTGATGAATCAGATTTTATAGTTAAATACAAAATCACGCAGGTTCGCTTGCATATATGAGAAAACAAACATGAAGAGGACACATATAAATATATCTGACTTCTAACTTCTCGGATTATCTACCCTTCTTCTTATTATCATTGAGATGATGATGCTTGCACTCAACCAAAAAGATGTCACGCTTTAGTTTATATATGTAAATACAAAAAAAAAAAAAAAAAAAGGGCATGCCATGTCGTTGACTAACACTAAGATCTTCACAGGGGGCAGCCTACTTTTGTAACAGTCAAAATTTTTGTTCTTAACAACTAATCTTAAATAAGTTGGTTTACATTTAATGAATAGCAGCCTATTTCAAGTAAAAGGATTGCAAAAAAAATAAATTTTTTTATTGGTTACAAACTGACTCAAGAAACCCAAATAAGAATAAAGCAATAATTTACTTCACTAATACCAAGATCTTCACATGGGCAATCTATTTTTCTACCAATCAAAAATCTTTCTTGACAACTAATCCAAAACAACTTGGTTTATATTTAATAAATAGCAGTCCATTTAGAGGCTTTATTGACCAATCAACGCGGAGAATTCACGTGCCTTTTTGTTTAAATGTTAATCTCCCAAAATGCTGATCTAATTTTTTGTCCAAGGTTGCCGGGGAAAAATATTTTGCACTCGATGCATGCAGAAGGAATGGTAAAGGATTTGCTCATTTGGTAAGTTATTGGGAAATTTTGAAAAATGAGTGTTGATAAACGAGCGTGGACTACTCTTTAGACATCATGGAGAAATACGATTGATTATGAAATTGCATTATTACTCTTTGTGCCTTGGGCTGGTGAGATGGCATTGGCACCCAATATGCAGACCCCATGGTGATTTTGTTAGTCAAATGTGCTTTGATGTTTTCTTGGTCCGTTAAGTTAAATTTAATTTTGTTTCGTGATGATTCCCTTTGAACAGTTTATGACATTTTTTATTTTCTTTTTATTTTTTTTCCCATTTTATTGTGACCCAAAAAGTAATAAATTGATTTGTGATCACAAGACCATCCAAATAATTTTGATAGGACACTAGCTAAGGGCTTGGTAATTTACCGAATTTTTTTTTTGGTTTCAATTTTATGAAATAATGCTGCTAACCTCAACCAACTCTCCTTATAGAAACGTCAACCTTGATCTCAATCAACTCTTTCATGGCTAATTTTGTTGTAAAGCTACTAGGAGCACTAGCTAATTAACTAGTGTAGAACTGAAATTTAGGGTTTTAATAATAGCCATGTGTGCAGGATTATAGTATTTTTCAAATATATATGGGAGATGTTATGGCTAATTTAAGCACATACAAGTATGTGAGGGAGAAAATGAATAAATCAACAATATGATATTACTAATAACATTATAATAAAATTCTCAATTCTTCAATTTTTTGAACTAATAATTACCTAATAATTAGATGAATTTGTAAATAAGTCTTGACAATTACAATAATTACCTAATAAAATATCATTTCCTAAATAAATTGACTGCGATAAAACTACTAAAAACTTAGACTTGACTAAAATATTGCTTGACAATGATATAAAAATTTCTTATTTTAGGCTTGATTCATATGCCAACAATTAGTTCGATTCTTACATTCTCGTCAAGGCAAGATCGCCGCAACTGCAGCTTGCATCAACAATTTCACCTCATTTGTCAGTCGCCTTCCTGCTCGTAGGCCGTTTCCAGTTCGCATTAGACATTTATATATTAAGCAGCCTGATCATTTCAAGGTACATCAAAAACATTGCGAGCAAACTGCTTAGAGTTTTAATCCAGGTCCTTGATTTGATTGTTTGACAAAGTTACAGGACCAATCTGTTTAGCAAAAGGCTACTTTCACGCTTTTAAGTAGTCTCCTACTTTACCAGCTTTCTGTTGGAAAGGCGGAGGAATTTCGAACTATTTGGAGTATGAACCCGTGCATGCTAAGTGATTTCACAGTTATGAGCTTAAATTTCTGCTTAAGCTTAAGGCAAGTAAGGCAAAGAGTGATTGACTCTATCAAGACTTCGCAGCAAGAGAGCAAAATCCCAGATATAGAAAAACTGCCATTTCTTGACTTTCTGAAATTACTTTATGGAGCCTTTGCCCTCTTAGTTTTTATTTTCTTGTAAAAGCACAAAAAATCCTCAAGCTGAACTGACTTGTTGAGTTGGAACACTGTTCGCCAAGACTGATCTATGCTCACAAGAAACATGCAAAAATGCAGAACACCGTTCAGCAAGGCTGGACTATGCTCATAAGCAACGTGCAAGAATGAATTGACAGAGGTCCGAGGTCAAGTCCTTGAGATCATCAAGTCAGCTTCCGAATAAGAGTTGAGTGAGTTTAAGAAACAAGGAGTTGAGTGACTCTTAGATTACGTACCTTTGATGGCATGTACTCATATTTGTAGGACAACCTCTAGATAGCTGATAGAATATGAAGTTGATAGGGCAAGTTAATGAGCAACATATACTAAATTGTTCAATGACCACCATAAAGCTTGCCCTATCAGATGAGATTGTATTATAACTGAATACTAAGAAATTACAATCTAATAATATAAAAACTAACTCACAAATGGTGGGATGAACAACCATAGCATAAAGTAAGAAAAACTTCGCAAATAGCGACATTTCAACTTAGGATCTTTGATTTTGATCTCTTTTTCTTTTTTTGTGGAGGCAAGTTAAAATTTATTCTCAAGCAGTAAAATGTACATTACAATAAAACTAATCCACAAGGTAATCAATCAAATAAACAAAGAGATATGAACAAACAAAATCTAATTAACAATGTTACAATCAAATAATAACAAAAGTATTTTGGCAAAAAAAAAGTAATTTTGAAAAGAGAAACAAGTTCTAACCTGCAAGGTTACACCGAGGCAAGATTATTCTCATATGTTGGTAAGAGAATATGAATAGAGCATGCATGGATGAGCAAACGAACTTACGGAATTATGTAGGAATTTCAAGATGGTTTCACACGTCTCAGTATTATTGTATTGTGACAGACTAATACAAGTGCTAGAAAAACTTCATGGTGGTGATTTTACCCTATAAAGATTTAATGTTAGAATTCGAATTTAGTCCGACCTTGAAATTGTGGAGAGTCTCGCAAGTCAATAGTACCTAACCATCTAAAAGTTTAAAGCCAAGATTTGGTATGCAAGTATGTAATCCTGGTGTTAGTTTTTACACTCTCTTAAAATTGCAAGTTTTAGGGTGTGTTTGATAAAACTAAAATTTGAAATCTGAGTTTGAATTCATTAAGTTATTGAATTGTTAAGTATTAAATCTAATACATTTAAGTGTGTATCACATTTAATAAGTGAATAGGTTATCACTTAATTTTGAGATCAAGTTTTACCTAAAAAATTCAGTGTCATTTAATTAATTCAAATGTTCAATTTTTAGTTATCAAACGATCTGAATATGTTAAGATCTAAATTCATTAAATTTAAATATTGAATTGAGTTATCAAATAGGGCCTTAATTATTGTTGAGTCAGCAAATCCTTATTCATGTCTGCAAAGACTTGCTTCAATGATAGAATTTCAGTTGAGTAAGGAGCACTGGAGCAGAACAAACATTTTTTTTTTGTTGGGTTTTTAGCCGAAATATTTATGTCATAAATATTTTTTTCAGGAGTTGACTTTTAGTTTGGAAGCATAATTTAAATCAACGTCTTCTGTACTGCATCCTCAAACCCTCCCTAAACCCTAGGCATGGACAGGCACGCTGAACAACCGAAGAGAGGCAAAAACACCCACAAGATACAGTGCCCGTCTTCTTCTACTTCGAATCCGGAATCCGAAGCAGAAGAAATCTCAATCAGTTGTCACGTGCCTGATGAAATCATCACCGAAATCCTCTTAAGGTTACCCGTTGAAGCCCTATTGAGGTTCAGGTGCCTTTCAAAATCTTGGCTTTCATTGATCTCAAACCGAAAGTTCATCAGATCCCATTTGGTTATATCCTCCAACAACGATGTATTTGAACACCACAGGGTCATTTTTGCTGGTCCTGACGAGTCCTCTCTCTGTCCAAGATCTCCCCTGAAACAGTGTTCTATCCACCCTGAATTACCTAAATTCCTAAGTGAGGCAACTGACTTTTATCCTTCCCTGGAACTCAACGACACCTCATGTCCAGAAATTTTGGGTTCTTGCGAAGGCTTGGTTTTTGTTTCATGTTCGAGTTATTATTTGTGGAACCCATCGATCAAAAAGTCCAAGAGATTGCCTGATTTGGTTCCTCGGGAATGTAATTTTTGTTTAAGCAAATATGTATGTGGGTATGATGCGTCTATTGATGATTACAAAGTATTTAAAATTTCAATTGAGGGAACAGAGGCCCATGATACTATTATAGAGGTCTACAGTTTAAACACAAATTCTTGGAGAACTATTGAGGGTTTTAAGGGTGACCCTTATGAAAACAGTTTTTGTTTTGTGAGTTCGAAGCTGCATTGGACTACATGTCCCACATTTAGTAGTGTGGCAAAAATCCGGTGTCTCGATTTGACGAATGATACTTATGGAGAGGTGGAACAACCCGAATTTGGAGATGGGAATTGCTTTTATTGGAGCTTGCATGCTTTAGGAGGGTGCTTTGGTTTGTGTTGTTACCATCAAGGTTATTATTTAGGTCTTGATATTTGGATTATGAAAGAGTATAGCGTGAAAGAATCCTGGATTAAAGTGGTTTCTGTTCCTTTGGATGATCCTAGGTATGGTATGAAGTAGATACCAAACCCTTTTTGGTGTCAACAGACGGTAAAATTCTGTTCAAGTTTGATGTGTGTTTGGCGTTTTACAATCCAAAACATAAATCCCAGACATATCCTAAGTTTGATTGTAATATGAGTTATTCTTTGGGGTTAGAAGTGTACGTTCAGAGCTTAGTTCTGCTTCATGACCATGATTGAACATGAAAGCCGCAATGATTTCCTCTGCTGTATCTCTTGTAAGTGTCGAGCTCTCCCTTAATTCTTCAATTGCAGTAACTATTCATTGCTCATGATCATGGTAATTTGTTCATGATTGAAGACCAATTGTTAAAATATGCATAAAGTACCATTGATTTGTAGTGATTGTGAGTTTAAGCTTTCATTGAAATTCTTTTGCTACTTCATAGGACAGTTACTTTCGAATTAAATGATTTACCAGTGTGATGCAATTAGGGTGATCTCTGATGACTTCTTAGTTACAACTTACAACTGTTAAAATCCTAGGTTACTGTACCTTCTATATATAATTTGATTTTCAAATTTAAATTCACGTCGTCATATGATATGATTGACAGGGTGTCAAACCTGTGCAATAATAAATACCTACTCGAGAAAAATACAGATTTTGTATATAGCGGTGAGTAGGGTCAAATCCACAGGGATTGGGGATAATTCGTTTCTTCTAGAGTTCAAAGTATGGGGGGTTTTGGATTAAATGCTAACTAAATAAATTAACTGCAGAAAATAATTGATTAAGAGAAATAATTAAGGGAAAACTCTAGCCAAGGGTACACTTCAGAAATGGTTCATGCACTGATCATTGATTCGTAGATAATTCCAACTTTTATTAATAGATTGGTTATAGTTGTCATGCACGCGATAAACAACCAACCTTTCCTTAATTTATCGATAGCTAAGGTACGACCGTTAGCTATTTCTCTAACCCAAAAACAACCCTAGGTACGACCGTAGGATTTAATTTCTAGATTGCATTAATAATTAGAAAGGCCCAATCCTAACTAACAAACACGCTACGAGGGTTTGTTTAAACTAGATCGTATATTCCCCTGACATAAACCCAATTACGCCAGTTGCTACTGAGATAGAGATAACGAACAAGTACGGATTCAATTACCCCTATTTAGTAAAAATAGCCTATATGAATAATTAATTATTGCGCACTAATCAATCATACACAAGGCCACAACAATTAAAATCAAGGAACATACAAATACCAATAAATGAAGAAAATAATTAAAACAGATTCGATCTCATAGTAATTGTCGAACCAAATCGTCAGTTGTCCCCTTGACTAGAAGGAAGGCTTAGCCACGCCGCATAATTAAATCACCACACGAAGTAATGGATTGCAAAGGCATGGCGGTTTTTAGTAGAAAGCAAGGAATAAAAGATGTTTTTCCCGTTGGGGAATATTGTCGAACACCTGGCGTGTGTCAGAGGCCAGTCAAAAGAAAGAAAGAAAGGAAACTAAAACTAAACTAAAAACTACACTAAAACTAGGAATCTCCTTTTGCTTCTGTACGTCTTCCCTTAAAAAGCCAAAAGAAAGAAGCCTAAAAGCTATTTCCTGTGGTCCCCACACATGTGGACAAAGTCTCCAAATTACTTCTTGGTCCAAGTCTCTCTACGTTGCTTTCTTTGAAAGGCCCAAATGACTAAATGCCTTTCACTAGCTTGTGGTCCCCACCAATTCAAGAGTCCAAGGTCCTTAGAAGTCTCCATTTTCCCATAAAAGTCCCTCCTTTTTGGTAATTTTCTGCTTTGTTCCTGAAATTAAATCCCAATACCAAATATAAGTAAATATTAATAACTAAAACAATATTTGGCAAGAATAAAAGGGAAAATTAACAATAAAATTACTAACAATTAACACCCTATCAATTCCCCCCACACCTAAATCATGCTTGCTCTCAAGCATAAGAACAGCAATTGAACACCAAAATTTGACAATAGCTATTGCTCTAACTATCATATTGCCAAGATACCCAGAAAAACATATATCAAGCATCACAGTTGAGATCCAAGAAAAACCACTCCGGTTAGCTTCTCAACCACCAACTCCCCCAATTTAAAGCAAACTAATCTAAGAAAAAGGAATGGTTGCTCACATTTATTAGCAAATGGTCCAACTATTAACTAAAATCTCGACATTAAGATCACAAACCGGCAAGCTGACTTATTCACATACTAACACAATCTTTACTTTACTTTTTTTTCGCTATTTTATTTATTTATTTATTTTTTTACTAACAACAAAAGACTTAGTTTCTAGCCATTAGAGCCTTTTGACGCGAACTCCAACATTTGGTAGATGGAGGAGCCCGGTTACTCAGCTCCAATCGCTACGGGACCACGCACTCATAGCAATTACTACCTTTTGATGCGAGAATCGACACTTTAGGTGAAGATCCCCGGTTACTCAGTAGTGATAACCAGCGGAGTACAGTCACCTCTTATTTGCAACCATACCACAATAACTACAAAATATCACAAAAATAACAGCAGCCAGCCTCAAATTTCCAAACATGGAGAACTAAAATTAATAATTGGACCAATTCACATGAAAAATGCCAACAATCATTCCCTATGCCTAGAAAAGTTAACCAAAAATTGAAAAAGTTAAGCAATTATTGCTATTCACCAAAGAGATATTCCTGAACTCAACCACATCAACTGGATACCTTTTTATTAATAACACTTAGCAATAGCAGAATTAGAGACAACAATCCAACATCAAACTTGGTATTCAAATAAAAAAACTGACCACTAGGAAGAAAGAAAAGGAAATAAACGAAAAATAGAACAAATAACAACGAAAATAAAGGAAAAGAAAAAAACTAAAAGCTGAACACCAGAAATACCAGCTGTACCACAGTTTTTCCCCCCACACCTAAATCCGACATTGTCCTCAATGGAGATCATAAAGTAAAGAAAGCGAATAGGACAACTACACTTCCCTGAATACGTGGTGGAAGGTCTCGGGCGGCTATGGAATAGGTGGGAACGGTGGAGTGAAAATGGTGCTACTGTAGTGCGTGGCAGTGAAAGATTGTAGAGGGAAGGAGAGCTCCGACGTGCGTCTTGATCCAGGCGAACTAGAGTGCAACAGAGAACTTCAAACCAGCAAATTTCCAGACAATGCAGCAGTTTCAGTCAATGGCCGAGGACGTCCAACAATGTGCTTGAACGCAGTCAATTCCAACGAATATGGCGATCAAACAGACTCCACCTGTCAGAAATTGACAGATGGTGACGGCGGGGCTGGACGTACGGCAATGGAGGAAGAGCTGGGAGCTGCTGGTGGCGTTCGGCTGGGCTGGTGGCGGACAGTAGCAGCGGGTCCCGTGAGGTGGAGCTTGGAGGTGCTGAGGTGGCTAGCGTCGGCAAGGTGGAGAGAGGCACGGCTGGTGAAGGGCAACAGGCTCGCGGGCTGGGCTGGAATTGCCCGGGCGGCGCGCGAGAAAGAGAGAGCAAGTGGGCAGGCGGCGGCTGTTGCGGCAGCTGGGGCGAAGTGGTGGTTGTGGAGCTTGAGCAGGCGGCGGCGCTCGGCAGGTCAGTGAAGAGAGGCCCGTGAGCTGGTGGAGCAGCGCGCGATGGAGAAGATCCGCAGCGTGCTAGGAAGAAGATCTGCGGCCGTGGTCTGTGGGTAAAGCGGAGCTGAGGTGGAGCTGCGAGGTGGTGGTGGTTGTGCTGGGAAGCTGGGTTCGGCGGCGGCAATGGAGGAAAGAAGGAAGAAGAAGGAGAAAAAGAAAGAAAAGGAAGAAGAAGGAAGAAAGAAAGAAAAAGAAAAAGAAATTAAAATGGTTTTTTTTTTTTTTTGGTTTTAACTAGTCTTACCGAAATTCTCCAAAAATTGAAATTGCTTTTGTAAAAATTTTATCTCCCTTTTTTTTTTTTTTTTTAGAATAAGGAACCTCTGGCCTAGGCGTGGGCACGCCTAACTTCCCCTAGTCATTTTGACCACCCGTCGAAAATTTTAGATCCTTTAGCGTGACCACCTGGCGTGGGCACGCTTAACTGCTATAGAGTCTGCAGATCATGAACGAAAATTCCTTTCCCTCAGGCGTGACCACCTGGCGTGGGCACGTCTAACTACTAATCTCCTGCCACCAAACATCAAACTATTAATTGACACTAACACTTAACTAAAACTTCAAAAATGCATGAAAACTGAAACAAATAGTCTTGGGTTGCCTCCCAAGTAGCGCTTTTCTTTAATGTCTTTGGCTAGACATGCTATGCTTGTTCACGGGGGATAAAATCTTGTGGCTCGCTTCAATGCTTCATCTTCAATATGATCCTAGTAACCATCATAAATAGAGTAATCCTTGAGCTCACGAGCTACGGTCTTCCCTGGACTAGTAAATGGCACCAAACAAGTCGATGATAATTTGCATTCTCCATTCACTCCTCCCTCACTTGCATTTATTGGTACAAGATATCTTGCCATCGCCACTCTTAATTTATTCCTGTCATGAAATTCAAAATTGTCTGGTATAATAAAGTCAATTTCATTAACAGGAATTGAAGAGTAAGAGTCAGGAGAATAGTGATGAAGGAGTGGAGGGGATGTCACCGCATTTGGAGATTGTTCACTGGATTCATTCACTTGAATGAGTTGATCCTGGAGTCTCATTTTTTGCACTTCAACTTCCTTTTCAACTGCATCTTTAAATCCGTTTCCCTGAAACTCTTGCAGTTTCATGTCATTTGGCCAGATAATTGCACTCTCATCTCTTTCAAGATTGATATTGGTTTGTGAGGGCAATTCTTCAAGGTGAGAAGCTAATCGCTCTATCCTGGATGTCAATTGACGCATTTGATCCGCCAGGTCGCGACGGCTCGCTTGTGTCTCCTGATGAAATCGATTTGTATTAGCAATTAGTAATCCCAACATTTCTTCAAGAGACATACCTGACACGGAGGATGATTGCTGAGACTCTTGCTGTTGAAAATCCATTGGCCCCGTCGCATAATTAAAATTGGAATTATCCC